TACAAATCCCAGCAGGGCCTGAGATGTAGTTATTACAATTTTACAATAATATTACCTTTTTTCCCTTATGACATTACACGCAATTAAAGTATCCAGCAGGGGACAATCATGAAAAAAATGCAAACTTCAAAGATTTACCAGATTTCAAATATAGTGGAGTTACAATGTTAAAAGTAAAGATTTGCTAGGCTATAGGGAACATCTAAGAATGTACTGCCTAAGCAGTACCCTGAACTATTTATCTATTGTCTTGAAAAATATCAGTGCACTTCCCGTACCTATGTCCTCCTTTGTCTTGACTCTAAAAGCTGTATATCTGCATTATGAGAGTTTAAAGATATCCATACACTGAGCAAAGTTTCTTTGGTTCTTGATGAACCGCCTGTAACTCATTCTGGCCAAACAGTAACTTCAGCTGCAGTCACTGTTTGGGTATTCTGACAACAGCGCACTCGCCTTCGTCAGAATACAATAGCCCGGCTCCCTATCCATACAGGCTAAACGAGAAAACCCTTATAGCGTTTAGCCAGCTTATGGCTCTGTTGCCTCTGGCTGTTAGTTTCAGCAGATTTGGTTTGGAATTTGGTGATGTCACTTCTGTACTGCTCACTGTAGCTGTGCCTGAGGACCTGCAGTGCAAGATCCTTCCTGCTCTGCTTCATTCATGTGACTGCATGGGGAATCTACCAATACGGGCAATACCAATATATAAAACAATTGACACCAACCTTGGCATTAAAATGGTTGTTGCACTTTTTATTGGTTAAAATTTGATCATATATTAAATAATCACATTTTAACCAGTTGACATCCGCGGTGTTAAACCCCCTTCCCATCCAGGCCATTTTTCAGTATTCAGCACTGCGGTACTTTGACTGACATTTATTCCGTCATGCAACGCTGTACTGAAAATAATTGTATACTCTTTTTTGGGGACAGATAGAGCTTTCTTTTGGTGTTACTTATTCACCACTGGGGTTTTAATTTTTTACTATATTAAGGAAAAATTACCGAAATTAAAAAAAAACAGTTTCCCCTATATTCGATGATAAAACATTTATTATTAACCAATTTGTTGGTAAAATATAAAAGACGGGGTTACATCAGGTAAAAAGACACCAAACATGTCAAGCCTTAAAATTGCGTGCGCGCGCGAAACCTCAAAAAACGATAATACCAAAAATTGGCCATAGGCGACGCTTTAAAAGCTGTTACCGCTTATCAGTTTAGTGTTATCAGTGATTGATGGCCCTAAAATGATTGCTCTCACTGCGACGTTCGCGGCGATATGTAACATGTGTAGCGCAATTGTCGTTTTTGCGCGCTGGGGCACCGGGCGCGTATTTACGTTTATAGGTGCGTAAACGTGGGGGTGGGGGAGTTAAACATTTTGGGGTGTTTTTTCCCCTTTTTTTATATGTGACTTTTATTTTATTTTATTTTTTATATGTTACTTTTATTTTTTTAAATTTATAGACGATCGGCGGGCTATGGAGCCGCCGATCGTCTATATGTGAAACACCCGGTAACGGATGTTTGCATTGGTCGGGTCTTTTCTGTACAACGCCTTAGAAGCAGCCTGAGGAAAAAAGCCTATGTCCTGCCAGCATGCCGCAGAGTGGGACCTTTTCTATCTGTGTGTAAGCAGTGGTTTATTTGCAGAAGTCTGACACCCCCTGCTGAGTCAGAGCTAGAGCCCTCCAATCAGCAAGGATCATCAGCTTTGTTGATTGCAGAGCTATGTCGGTCTACAGCCACAGGGGTGAGGACAACTAGCCCTGTGTAAGATAGTTGTTACACAGGCTCAGGAACCTCTCCCCACCCCCATAAGACAGCAATGGATGCATGATCAGCCGGTGGTAAAGTACCAATGCTGTCAAGTGGGAGGAATGGGAGTGAGTCACATGCATCCCAATACCTATAAGTACGGGACCCTATCCCTTATGACAGCAATGGTTGCCTAAGTGGCCATTTGTGGTCCGTGGAGAAATGCCTCCTTACGTTGGAGGTCAATAAAATGGCATTTCCCCCAAAACTATGCATGCACCATCAGATAAGGGGTGAACCAGCCACTGCTCAAGCAACCCCTAGCAACCTCTAGAGGAACCCTAGGGATTCACAGAACGCTGGTCGATAATGGCTGGCCTAGACCATGACCTTTGAATACAGGCATGTAAAAGTTACAAAAGAAAAATAAACATAAAGCTGTAGCACACAGTTGGTGTAGCACATGTGAAATGATATGCAGCCTGTCAGGATTGCTTGGGGCTTGTTCAGCAGCTGACATGTGTCCTGGGAACATATGACTGAAACTCTGAGGAATACTGCATGAGTGTAAACTTTCTAGATGACAAATAGCCAGAAGAGGATAGGTCATCGGAGGATAATATGTGTTTTTTTCACCAGGCCAGCCAGTGATACATCGTTCTAGCTAGTCATTTTAAGCCGTTCTTCCCAACGAGTATACATTAACTATTGGTTAAAAGGAGGAATCTAAGAACAGTGCCACGTGCCATTGCTTTAAATAGTTAGAACTTAGCTACATGTCTTCCTGATGCATTCTTTTAACTTTTGCAACACAAGGCTGTAAGAATACCAACAACGCAACGTAGCAACGTGAATAATTCATGAATTTACGTCTGAGGCACCTTTTGCCGCAGGGAAAAACTAAACATTACATAAACTTTTGGAAGGCGATGAAGTGCAGTTGATAGCTGAGGAATGCTATAAACTGAAATTACACTCAAAATATGGATTTATTCCATTTATAACTTAGTAAAAAAAAGATGGGCTGTACTAGCTTTTGATTATTTTATTTCTTTACTTTTTTATTCACTTTTGTATATAATCCTCCTTTGCTATCTGTTACCCCCATTCATCAAATTTATGACACCTGTGGATAACTGTAATTCCATTATTAAAGCTGAAGTTTAATCTGCTTATATTTTGTCTTTGCTGTTTCCTCCCTCTCCACTTTATTAACATGACATTTGTAAATAAAATGTCTCCGTTTTCATTACATACCTCATAGACCTAGTGATGTCATCACTGGGTGTCTGTGCTTCTCTATTCAATGCAGGCAAATTGTGGATAGTGGAAGGGATCGGCACGGTGCTGTGTTGGCTTCCTGAAACCATAAGGGCCTGTTCATACAGAGGCCGTGCATTAATCACACGGCTCCATGCGATTAATGCACAGTACCACACAACTGACCTACCATATGTTGCAGTGTGGCAGGTAGGTTGCATTCGCAATTCATATGAATAGAACCCCAAACACACCTCCCGGCCACAAAACACTCAACCGCACCACAACCTGCAGTACCGCAATATCGTGTGTTGCGGTGTAGTGTGGTTGAAAAAAGTAGTGTATGCATTGGGTCGTTTTAGGTTGGCACTGATTCTGCTAGGCCTAAATCATCCATGTCTGGCCTCTGTGCATAGAAGAACAAGCCAAGACCCAGCACAACTATGAGCGGTTAAAGGTTCCGATCACCCAGATCCACCCAGAGCCAACCCATGCTAATTGGGTGAAATGCACAGGACTCTGTGTCTTCAATCTCTTTTTCTATTTCAAAAGGGAAATGTCAGGGGTCTGTTTAGACTCCTGATATTTCACCAAAGCCCCCCCCCCAGTAAAAACATAATATAAAATAAAAAAGCACAACACCCCCACACACATATTATACACGTGCAAAAGTGTGTACCATACACTTTGTTTTAGTAAACAGTATGCACTATTTAACATATAGGCGTCTATTCACTACGTTGGCAGCCGAGTGAACGACCGACCTGCAGCGAAGTGAGTAGGCATTTATTCTTAGATGGCAGAAACAGAAGAATGCCAAATACTTCTACTGAATTCCATTTCTTCAAGATGGTATTACTATTGCCCCATCACTGTGGGCATCACAGACCATATGCTTTATACTGCTGTTTCTTAAGAAGAAGGAAAGAGCCTTGATTTTGGGGTGTGTTTTGAGACGTACATAGTTTATTTTATTTTATGTTTTGGAGCATATTTCATACCAGCCCTGGGACTAGGAATTTATGGTATTAGGAGAAAATCACACACACACACACACACACACACACGCGCACACACACACACACTCATGAACACATATTACTAGACATGTGCAAACACTAAAAATTAGTTTCGGATGAAATGAACGGAAACTAAAAGTGTTTTCATTAGTTTCGTCAAATGAAACACTTTTTTTATGCTATTTTGGATTTGGCCACAAGCGCATTCTGCGCATTCCCGCTGCCATTCTCGAGGCGGGGCACATGACGTCACAGACTTCACACGTCTGAGGGGGGTGCACAATTTTCCGTTCTTGCCTCGGGCGCAAGAGGAGCTAGCTACGGCTCTGCCTGATATGTATACTGTAGATGGTCCAGGTTAGAGACTCAGAGTTGATGCCATTAGATCAAGCAAAAAACCTTTTAGAAAGAAAAGTTAGCTATGGAAGCCTACATGTTTTCCTTATTTCCTTAGTACAGGCTTCTTTTAATAAAATGACATTGATGTTTTTTTTGTGAATGGATCTGAGCTGCTTTATGTGAACAATACGTACGCTGAATATATTTCTTACACACGCATTTGCACAGCTGAAAATGAGTTAAACAAAGTTGAAGTTCTTAGTTATACTTCTAGTGAGCTTTAATTGCCTACGTGTAGCTTGAGGCCTTTGGGTGTGATAATGATTATTACTTTAATAACATAAAATGTATATTTAAAGAGAATCAATTTCTTAACTTGTATAAAAGGTTCATTATATCTACAAAATCAGCATGTATTAATACCTAGAGGGCAATAACAGAACACTGAGTTTTGTTCTGGCAGTTGCAAAGCACATTCACTTCCACTGAATGCGGTAATTACCATTCTTGTTTTGATATTATGTCATATCTTAATCATTCATCCTATTGTCTTCTGCACGTGACTGGGTTAATAAATTGGTCTGCTTTAGGATGCTCATCTAACATTGGCACTTTAGCTGGGGACAGACTGTCATCTTTGATTCTTGAGTCCCTGTTCTGTGAAGGAATCATGACTTGGCTTTTGGTTCAGATCCTTGGGATCATCTGTGGAGGCATTGGGATGATTCTTACCTGGATCATTACGATCATGCCTCAGTGGAGGATTTCTGTTCTGGCAGAGAACCACGCACTTGCCAATGGTCGGATTGATGGACAGTGGATCAGCCGGTGGGATGGCTTGTGGACAACCTGTGTCAGCCATGCCCGGGTCTCTTTGCTGTGCAACAGTTATGAATCTATGGTGTCGCTGACAACAGACTTAAAAGCTGGAAGAGTTTTGATGGGCTTTGCTCTTGTGATGACTTTCATAGCCTGTACCTTTTCTCTTATTGGAATTCTCTTGACCAGATGCAGTAAAGAGGGCTGGGAGACAAGACACTGCATGCGTCTGACAGCAGGAGTCTTATATATCATAAGTGCTGCCCTCATAATAATTCCAGTGGCCTGGACAACCAGCAACATTATCCAAAAATCCTATGATGCTGCTGTATGCAGAGGAGCAGTGAGGATAGAGATGGGTGAAGCCCTCTTCCTGGCATGGCCTGCTATTGTCTTTATTCTTATCGGAGGAATAATCATGTGTTGGCGATATGACTGCAGATGCAATAAGGACAGCTGTGGCTACGTGCCACCTCGTGAATGTGAGATGGAGTGCAGACCAAGTCATCCAGAGGAACGGCGAAATTGCAATAGCCGGAGTGAATATATATAGAAGACAAGAGCTTGATAAAGCTGAGAAGGACTGAAAAGTGATCAAAGATGAAAATAGTTTTTCATTGTGAACTTTTGTTTTCTTGTACAGTTTCTTGACATAGCCAATTTGTCCATGCTTGGTTGGTACTTTGAATGGTCAACACACTGTACGCTTGGACAAAGCATTCCATGTGGCCGTCATTTCCTCAAGATTATCCTATACAAGCTCATTGGATTACGGGAGATGAATGTGAATTATTTTTATAATTTCAAAAATACAAACTTTGATGGCTTCCTGGGGATCCAAAGAGTAAAGGACTACTGTGATACCAAACACCTTCTGAGGACCAACTGGAGAAGACATCTTTTTTTCTGGTAACATATTTAATTCAGACATTCTTTAAACTGTATCTAAACCAAAACACTTTAAAGTGTATATAAACCACGTATTAAATCTATGTAAATAGCTCTCTTTTTTGCCTTGTAAATGTAAATAGTTGTTTACCTTTTTTTATATATATTTGTTTGAGTGAATCTGTAATAGACAACTGTTGATCTTGACAGTTTCTGCTCTATCTAAGCCCTTCTTTGATAGGGTGACCCCCAGCTCCCAATGTTTCAAAGACGGTTGTCACCCTCCTGACTCCTTCAGGCAGTTTTTATCCAATCTGCAGCAGCCAATGCCCCTAACAGTTAGTTGACAGTTGCTTTGACCATTTAGCAACTGAGACTGGGACTTCCTGTAACTTTAATTGCCACTTTTGCTGGACATCTTGCTCTGCTACAGTAAGTCATATTTTTTTTTAAATCCACTGGCAGAACCAACAGGTAATGAAACTATGTTTCTGGAAAAGAGGGGGGTGGGGGACTTGGAAAAAAAAATACTGCTGTGTAAATGTTTTTTATTTGGCCCATAGATTCACTTTAAAAGAAATAGTATATTCCACCATACATTTCTTGACAAAAATGTTATTCCTTTAATTTTTATGTCCTGCTTTCCATTAAATGATACCAGCAATGTGTTTACAAAAACATATGCGGTTCTAAGGTGACAACGTTTAGAACAGTTGAGCTGCAGTGTTGTCACCCTTCTCTGCTCCCTCCTGCCTTGGAAAAAGCAGCTGTACCAATTACCAATGTGCTGACATGTCCTGCCACAGTCATCACAGAAATACTGTGACATTCAGTTGCTACTGGAGCACCGACAAATGTACACGAAGTGCCTACAAACTCTCTACATGAAAAGCACAAGTAGATAGAACATGTCCAAAGTAAAAGGAAAAACTATATTTTTGTAACAAAAATTTGGTTCTATTTTACTTACATTTCCCTATGAAGCTTCATTAAGTATTCTTTTTTAAGCGTTTGGTTCTACTTTAATGTGATAGCAATCTATAACCATAGCAGTCAATTAGAGGTTATGTTGGCTTTGATATATCTAGATTTGCAAGAACTGTTATGTAATTACTTGGTAGAATGTGAAGCACATTATCATTCTCTGTAACATATTTCAACAGCAACGATAAGAGAATTTAATTGTGTAATGCAGAACGATAGCAAAAAAAAAATAATCACCAATAAAATGACATATCAGATTGTGTGTACTTGCAATTTCTTTTCCTCAGCCTGATTTAACAATGTAGTGAATTACTATTCTGGTTGAAGTGTAGGTGACCAAATGTTACTGATGTTGGAAGGGGATGGAGCATGCGGGCAGGAGGCCACTCTGCTTGTTGTGAGCTAGTTAGAGGTCCAAACGATGCCTTTACCACTTTATGACTAAATTGGGTTAACCATTTATTTCATCAGTAATTTTTTCTCCCTAAGCACCGTAGACACATTATATGCCACACACTTGACCCGTGTTCACTATACTCTTTTGAATTATCATAATGTATATGGATTTCAATAACTTACTTTATTAATAGTCAGATTCTCAGTGGTTCATTTTACACATTTTTTATTTAACACATAAAATATATCCAAAAACATTTAAAAACCCATATAGGTTACTGATAACCCAATATTAAAATGTATCTGATCCCAAAAAACAAAAATCTTATACAGGTATATATCATATAACCAGTCCTTAGATGTAGTGGCTGCATTATTGTTGTTTTTCAGGCTTTTTTTTCCCTTATTGTCACCTGGCAATGCCACAAAGCACACACTTTTTGTCCCTGGGTGGTTACGTTCACTCCTCAATTTTATCAATGGATGGAGTCAAAGTTGCCACCCAGGATAGACTTCAAATATGTCTGCCCTTGTTCATTTTTCTATTATATGAGATTAGTATTTTTTGATTTCTGATCAGCTCACTGCATGGATCATTTCTGTAGTTGCTAAAAATATATTTTTACCATGAAAACTGAAAACGAATGCAGCCATTCCATCTACGTATTTGTAAGCTGCAATATACTGTATTCCATTTTTGTCATTGGGTTTAGTTATTCATTAGACGTATTCCCATATATTTCTAATGGTACTATTATCACTTCATCATGCGTGCATGGGGACA